ACATATAAATCTATGAAGTAATTATTAAATTATTAAATTGTTGAGATTATAAATGAAATTTTCTATCGTAAAGATTTTCTTATACTTATAGTAGCACAACATTCAATGAGCATTAGAGTTGGGGAACTAATGTGTATACATGAAAATTGTCAGCATAAATATCAAGGCGATTAAACAACCTTGAATGAAAAATGTAAAATTCAATAGCCTGACAATAAACTTCAAGGGTGACCCAAGGAAAATATGTTGAGATTTTCATACCTATTTTATACAGTTTTTAATGATATTGCACTTTAAAGAAATGTATTTTTTATGTTTTGTTGCAGAAATGATGAATTAGGGTCATTGAAGCAAAAAGATGCAAAAAGGAGCAAATTTGGAGCGAAAATGACCAAAATGTGGAGATTTGAACTAGGTCGCCGACTGCGTCCTCGACCCCGCCGACGGCGCCCTCGACCACGCCGACGGCGAGTTTTTCCCGAGACTACAAGAAAAATATCTTCAGAAGCCCGCAGATGGTGCCCTTGAGGCCGTCGACGGTGAGATGAGCTCGGCGGTTATGCCTACTCAAGCTTTAGATAAGGCCAAATTTTGAAGGGATGCTTAGACAACTCTTTGGAAAGCTCATCCACAACTTTAATAGACTATTTTGGCCAAAAATTTAAAAGGAGGGGGGAGAATCTAAAGAGTGAAGGAAGTGCTAGAGAGAGTTCCTAATGGTTAGAAATGTTCCAATATTGTGAGGAATTCTTCGAGAGATTGTAATAGTGGAGGTAAAGTGAGAGATTTCTTCCTTCTTGCTGCTTCGAAGAGGAATTCTGTGTGTTGTAAAGAAAGGAAGAGATTCAGAGGAACTTCGAGGAGTGTTCTTGGGGAAAAATTAGAGATAAGTTATTTACTTGTTGTAGTTTATATGACTTTGATTTTATATATAAATTTTGAGTTTTGTTGTGTTTTCCCCATGAGATCTGAATAGTTTTATCTGTCTTTCTCATTGTCTCGAGATTTGTGAAATGATAATTTGAATTGGTGAAGTAAGAAAATGTTTAAGAAATTATGATGATCATTTCACTTCGATCTTAATTTACTTTCAATCTGGTCAATTGATTTGTTAAAGTATGTTGAGTTTTACAACTAAAGTGGAGATTACATCCAAGATTCAGGGAGGTCAAAGCCTTTGGAAGTTGAGTGCAAATAAATAGGAAAATAATATTATCGGGCGTAGAATTGGAGATTGTAGAGTGACCGACTGAAATCTCCAATTTGGTCCTATCGTTTGGGTGCTGAAGTGTAGATGTTAGCCCTCATGTGAGGGGAACGTGGGAGCTTCGAAGTGAGAGCCGATATCCTCCCAGCCTAGCCGTAAATTTAGTAAACAAGCTTAGGATTAGTCAATGTTTTTTATGCCTGGACCAAAATGTAAAGAATATGTATGCTCCTATTTGACACAATATAAATTGAACTAATTCACTTTATCCATTCACTATAATTTCTTGACAAGAAAAATGATGCTTTCTTATACATTGAATATCACAATTAAACCCTCATTAGTATCATTAATTATTTAATAGTTATTAAAATTACATACTTATTTTAATTGCTTATTAGTGACAGATAAGCAAATTGAACTTCGTTGTTGTGATTAAAGTATTGCTTTTCTAAAATCTTAGTTAACAGTTCTAAACCACTCCATGTGGGATCGATATCTAGGACTCCATTAGAGCCCTATATTACTTGAGCGATACGTATACTTGCGTTGTTAAGTGTGACTTTACAATTATTGAATATTTATTACGTCTATATTTATCTTATATTTTAAGCATATAAAAAGTCACGGTCAAAGGGCTCATGAGGTTGATCACTGAAGATCATCAGGCTACCAAAGAAGTTCGATCAACTGAACGACTACCTGACTATCCTATGAATATATATATGCATGTATATGTTTGCGTGCATCCATCCATCCATCCATCTATCTATTTATCTTTCTTTGTGTCAGAACTGCCCGGGGCAATTTTTGCAGTTACTTTGACACAAATTTGAAACTAAAGAGGCTACAGAGGCAGTTCAGGCAAGTCTCCCCGGATCATTGTGAAGAATTTGAGGAAGCTAAGGAGGGCAGGGGACGAGAGTTTAGTGTTAGGTTTTACTTTTTCTTCATTTTCTTAGAGAGATTATAGAGGGATTTGAAATAATTTTGTAAGGGAATATCATCAACAGTGCATAGAGCATTTGAAGATCACATGAGGAGGTGTTTTCACCTCTTTTCTCAGAGAGAAAGTTAAGTGTTTCATTCATTGTTTTGTATTGTTTGTAAACTCATTTTATATGAATTTGCTTTATTATAAGATGATAAATTGTAGTGATTTCTTCATGCAATATGAATAGTTCATTTATACCTTTCTCTTGTGATGAATAAGTAGGATGTGTAGGATATTATGATGCTTTTAGATTAGGTTTTTGTTCATTAAAGTGATGATTTTTCTTTGTGTTTATTTTATTTATCATTCTGGCCAAATAGTATGTTAAAATTCGTTGTAAGCCCATAAGTCTCTTCATCAACAGTTTAGACGTCCTATCCACCTTTATCATTTCTTTGCCTGCTGATAATCACATGATCTCCCAATGATGCCACTTGATCTCATAGATAAAGTTCAATGTCCTCCTCCTCTTCACAATTAATTTCTTCCTTAATCTTTCACTCGTTGGATGAGGTGGAGCACTCATCTCTCCAAGAACCAAACAGAGTAGATTCTTATCAAAGCGGCCCTGAGCTTTTGCACCAGACATGGTGTTATCTGAATTTCATGAAAAGGAAAGTATAGAAGAATACCTTATTGATCCTCTTTATAAGGAACGTGGGCACTAAAATTTAGAGAGTAATTATTAAATTATTAAGAAGTTGAGATTATAAATGAAATATTCTATCATAAAAATTATTTTCTACTTATTGCAACAACCTTCAATGAGCATTAGAGTAGGAGTAAAATGTGAAATTCAATAACCTGATATAAGAATTCAAAAGATCATGAAGTTGATCAGTTGAAGATCATCAGGCAACCGAAGAAGGTCGATCGACTAAATGACTACCTAACTACCGAGGGATCACCACACCAAAGACAAGTTTTATGATTGTCTCAAAGTTGACCTCTTGACTTTTAGAAAGACACTCAGTTTTTCAAAGCAAACGCTGATCGATACTCATACAAAATGATTGACCCAAATCAGCTAAGTAGACCGGTCCAAAGGCCCGTAAATCGGGAGATTTAGACTCATAAAAATATGTCAGTTATGAATATGAAATGACGTCAACATAAGTTATATATCCAGAAGGACACGGATATCAGTTTTCATTACAAAATGAAAAGAGGGAAAAGTTGATCTGTAACACCCCTAATTGAGTAAGAGCAAATTAATAAAAAACAAAGACTTGCAATGCCCCATTAAAGTGGGGCTAAAAGAGTACTTTTATCCTATGAACTATATAATTATAAATATAGGCCATTTTATAAATGAAAGGAGGGATGCTTTCCCCCGGGAACTGTTCATCTTTCACTATGTACTCTTTATGTTTCTCTCTTTTCCCCTTCTTCCTTATGCTCTCTCTCGAGATGTGTTTAAGAAAACAAATAGAGATTCAAGAAGTTGCCTACCACACACTTCTTATATATTTATATATATAAAAATTAAACTTTCATATTCTTACATCACATATTACTCAATTATTATGTATTTATCTTTACTCTTACAACTTATCAATCTTACATTAACTTAATAAAATATTAGTATATACAATCATACCTTTATTATCATACAAATTAATTATTCTACATCATGAGATCAATTGTGTTAACATGGGTGGCTCTTGATTTCATTGTTTGTATTGGTCACAATAGCTTTGAGAAAATTTACCATCCAATTTATTTCTAATAGATGATCCCTAACTTTTTTTCATACACACCACGTGATCACGGGGTTAGCTTAAAATTGAAGTCTAAATGATTTCTAAAATAATTTTGTAGTTGTTGAGTTTAATTTTTAGTTATTCAAAAATTGCATATAAATTTATGTTTTGATTAGATTAATAACAATGGTCTAAATAATATATCAATAACAAGCATATGTTTGATGATAGGTTGGCAATACAAGAAGTTATGTTGGCAATAAAAGGAATGCATTATATTCCTTCTGCAGGAGTTTTACAAAATTAAATGTTATGTGAGCAGAACAGTAAATATAATGTAAAATTCATTGTATTTGGAATTCACTATCTAGTTCATTTTCAATATATTTAGAATTTGTTGAATTTTGGCGAATTTCAAATACATTATGTTGTTTAAAATGATGCCCCTACATGCTAATGCGACGTGCCACAACTTTCCTCAGCTGCTGTAGCATGCTCGTTACCACTACTGCTGCCAACCTCTAGCTGCCCGCATGTTGCCTGCCATCACCTGACCCCTGCCCTTGTCGATTGTTGCTATTTGCCCACCGCCATTGACCTTAACCAATTATTTTACATTGAATTTATCTTTTTTAAAACCAAACAAGAAAATACAAAGTCCTGCATTTATTTTACACTTAATCAATCAACTCTATAATATTCCAAATACAATAAATTACCTTAACACTGCATTTATTTTAGATTGCATTCCTTTTTCAACAAACCTAATAACCCCTAAATCTTTTAAACTTCTCAAAAAATAGAATTAAAATTGAAGAATGGTTTTCTCAATGGGTTAAAAACTTTGCACTACACCCTAAATTGACTCGAACAATTTGGGTTTTGGTTCAGATCAAAAATCTCAACACGTTTAACCTTTTGAGAAGGATTCAAGTTGACTTGCTAACCTGAAATTGACCTTTTAACAATAACTTAACCTAAACTTGACTCAAATTTAACACAAATAACTATTATGCATATATTAAATTAACTAAAAATGTTAGATTCAGTTTAGCCGGGTTAAGATGGGTCAGGTTAGGGCCAGACCTTCTAAAAACCCTAGTCCTGCTTCCTTCCCCAACCAAACATGCTGCCTTGCATAGTTCGTAATCCGGCCACGACGCAAATTGTATTCTTTGCCAGCTTAGAAAGTAACCGCCGCCTTGAATCATCAAAAACCGTCCACGTAATCCAACAAAAAATGCAATGTATAGAGCTAATGATCCGACGGTCTTGACCAAATCTTCAGAAAAATCGTAAATTCATACTTGTACTCCTTCCTTTACAAATTCCTCCTTAACCGATCTCCTCAATTTCAATTGGATTCACTTCCCCTATTGTTGTTTTATTTCTGGGCATCGAGTTTTCAGAAATTTTTAGTGATTTGGGGAAGAAAGGGAAGGGATTCTGCTCTGTCTGCTCGATATTTTTCGGAATTTGTCTTAAAAAAGGTTAGTGATGATGCTTCTGTGTCCTGATTGTAATTATTCATGGCTTCTGTAAGTTGGATTGATTAACTCGCTATTTTCTTTGACTAACTTGTCGATTTTTTTTTCTCGCATTTGGATTAATGTTCTTGTTGCGTCGTGTTTTCGTCGTGTGAATGACTAATTTACTTTATTGTTATTCACATTTGGAATTGGTTGTGACTTCGAGTTTGGATGTGATGGGTTGTTTGGTGTTTTTGAGTTTAGGGTATTTTATTGCATAAAGGGGACATAGATGATGACAAAACTTGACAGTTTGATTTTTTTTGAGGGGGACTTTTGTCTGATTACGATGTTTTATGAATCTGTTTCAAGAAATTCCGTATTATTTTTGCTGGATTTATTTAATCTTTGATGAAGGATGGTTTGTAATTTTTTTTTCCACATAGAACTGTAGAAATATTTTGTAAGTATGTTTTGATTCTTCTTCGTTGTTGCAGTGAACATTCAAATTCTTTGCTTTAATTAAATCTATATGCGATTTTCTGTTGCTCTTGTCCATGTTTGCATTAGAAAAGGAAATTATCTTCCGAATAATCTCGTTATTGTTTTGTTCTTTATTTACTTATTTATTTATTGTTTCTTTTTTATTTCCTTTTTTAAATCGCCTCAAAATTTGATGAAGTCTCCAATCTCCATCTGACTTGAAAGTCTGTAATTCTAGTGTATTTGTTTAAATTGACTTCTTCATATTATTTATTTTTTTCGTGCAATTTCTTTTCTGATTAGGGTTTTCCATTCAGATCTTGGTATAATTGGACTCATGATTTGCAAGAAAGATACTGAGGTGGAGGTATTGGAAAAAGGGGAAGCGCCTTTAGGATCCTGGAGACCTGCCAGGATTCTATCAGGAAATGGCCATACCTATGAGGTCAAATATGATAGTTGTGTTCTGGAGGCAGATGTGTTAAGGAACAAAGTTCCAAGGAAAGCGCTTAGGCCCCGGCCTCCTCCTGTTGAGGTAAAAGGCTGGGCTTGTTCTGATTTAGTAGAGGTTTGTGAAGATGGATCATGGAAGATTGCAGAAGTGTTGAGGACACTTGATTCGAATATGGTCGTTGCAAGGCTCCTGGGATCTTCGAAGGAGATTGTCAGTCCTCTTTTTCAGCTCAGGATGCCACAGATCTGGAAGGACAACCATTGGATTCCATTACAGAAAGTAGGTTCTGGTTATTTCTTCTTTTTTGGGAAATTTACTTACAGAGCATACAATTCTTATTTATTTGCATCTCACACCTAAAATTTCAAACTGATATACACAGCACTTTGATGCCTTAGACCTATGCATGAAAATATGTATTTCACTTTAAAAAAGGGATAATAGTGCTATTTTTGATGTGATATTAAAGATATGAGTGCTATGGTGTGTAAATATGAAAGTTTAGGTGTAAGACATGTAAATACATAAGATTTATGAGCTATGTATGAAAATGGTGGTCTTTTTTTTTCCTTATCATGATTGTCCTATTGTTATTGATTGCCTGACATCATTGTAGTAAAAAAATTGTTTTTCTCACTTTCAAGCTTTTCTTATAGGCAACATATTTTGTACCGAACTTCTAATTTTTTTGTGGATCACCATTTACTTGCAGGAATCTGTGAAATGCAAAGATTTAGATGTAAAAACCTTGTCAAAAAAGCGGAACTTGAGCTGTCAAATACCCTGTCTATCTGTAGTGGAGAAAAAATGTAAGCGAGTTGATCGACATGCAGAAAAATATGATCATTCTGTGGATCAATGGTATCAAAAGTCTCTTGGAAGTTTGAAGAAAAAGTCATGGGAATGTAGATCTCCTGTTCATCCGAATTCTGGAGCTCTTGGAAAGAAGAAACAAATCAAGAAGAAAGGAAGATGCTTTGAACTTGTCGAAAAGAATTTGACAAACCAGCTCTTTGAAAAGGTAGATGCTGTTAATTCACCACAACAATTTTATGGTGAAAAACAAATGTATTCTGCCTTTTGTCATGAAACAGTTGGATTTGATCAAATAGGCGTATATTGCAAAAGTCCAATTGCTAATGCTGGAACTAATCTTATAGTGAGTTTAGACCATTTGGATAATGAGAGTACAACATCCTCTGTTGGTAGTTGTAGTGTGTTTAATGGTTCATGTAGGCCACTTTATCATAAGGCCAATCAGAGGCAAGAAGTATGTGGTCATAATAATGATGCAGAATCCTTTTGCGGCTCTTCAACCGAACCATCTCATTCTAGAGAAGACGACAAGGCAGAAGCAATTCATTGGCTAGAGTTGGATGCATACCGTTCCACATTGAGGTTGTTTTATGTTTCTGGTTCCTTGAGTTGGGAACAAGAATCATTATTGACAAACCTTCGATTTGCTCTAAACATCTCAAATGATGAGCATTTATCTGAACTAAAGCATTTGATGTTGGCTAGAAGTTGAATAGAACAGCATTATATTTTTTTTGCAATCCATTACCTAGGCATTCCAGAATCCTTTATCCTCTATAACTTTGTCCAGTTTCTTCGTTTTTTACTTGATTCTAATAGAATTCTTTGGGGGAGTTGGTGTTTGCCAGCATGGCTCTTAAAATGTGAATGTAGATAGCAGTCTTTCTTTTGTAACTGTGATTATAAAGAAATGAATGCTTTGTCTTTCAATGGATACGGTTTCACTGTTGTTTTGCTTTAGTACTAGCAGTCAGCTGATTATAATGCTATGTGCTGAATTTTATCGAACTTCTGAGAAGTTATTTTGCTTTTTTTGCAATATGGACGGATCACATTAATGAATAATTTCTTATTATGGAACTTGTGTTCATTCTTTTAATTATGTTCAGCACATAAAGAATGCTGAAGGAATGTGCTTTATTTTCTCTCAAAAACTCAGTTTTGTTCGTCATTTATGCTTCTGGCGATGTATTTATGGCATTTGATATTACTGATGGGTGCTTCAAGAAGAAAATAATGCCTTATAATATTTTATTTTCATGCATGGTCTTGAATAGCTCAGCCAAATTTATGTGATTGAATGTTTAGAACATTCTAATCCTCATTGTTTGAGGTGATTTCAATAACATATTCACTCATATTCGTAACAGAAAAGATTTTTTTTGTTTGCAGTAATTTCTCCCATTTTTACTGTTTGCTTTAAAGTTTTCCACGAATGGATTCTTTCTTGGCCTTTTCTTTTGTCATCATATTGTTAATTTGGTGAAGCATATTGGGGCCTGTGTTTGTCCACACAAATTGGAACTATGTTGTATTTCATTTTGAGGAGATATTTATACTCCCCGTGCCTTTTTCAGTTTCAGGGCTAAGGTTGGAGGCTTTAAAAGCTTGCCACAGGTCCAAAATAGTGGTAGGTTTTCTACTCTCATATTGTTATCAATCCAGGATACTGCCATCTGGTTCTTACTAAGACTTCCTGAACAAAAATAGCTTTCACTATTTTCAAAGCTGCTTATCTTCAGGCAAGTACCTCGACTGAGTACCTCTGACTTAAGTATAACAGGGAAGCTCTGAGCTGTTCAGCAGCTGCATATAATGGTATGTAGATGTTTGGTGGTCTTGAACACTGTTTTGTTACTATTTCATTTTCACAATTATTACCTTTTGCAAGTGGCCTGCATGAAGCAAAGTTTCTCATCAATTATATTGATTTTAAACATTAACTGGATCTAGTCATTGAACTAGAAGTAGACGTGCGAAGAAAATATATTAGATTTGCAATTTCCAAATGTTTTTAGGCTATGGGTAGTTCAGATCCGTTGATTTAATGGAATTCTTGTGTTGGCTCAAAGCCTAACATTTAGAGGGATGCTTTGAGGTAGTGGTTAGGTTACCTTGATTTTGCTCTTGATGTCAAGGGACAAGTCATGGAAACAGTTTCTTTGCAATTATAGGGTAAATATTGCTTACGCCAGCTCTTCCTAGACCCTGCATTGGCAGAAGTTTCATGGAAAAGCTTTGCCCTTTTTGTGCTGCTGCCAAATCCTTTTTTGCTGCATCTTTATGTCTGATATAAACTTGTAAGAGCTGGTATTATTTCATTTGCTCTTTTTTCATTCAAAAATTTTGTAAACCACAGGGCTAATGATTTGGATTAGTGATGTTAAAGAACGATGAAGTAGTAGGCTTCTTTACATTGTTAAGTGTTTGAGTCTATATATTGGTTTCAAAGATTGATTAAGAAATAGGCTTCTTGATAGTGTCAAGCGTTTGAGTCTAAGTATTGTCGTTCTTTGCAAAGTTATCCCATGGGTTCCTGATAGTATCCACTTGAAGGTATCATGTGGGTGTTCTTGCTCAATCAGGATATATAAATAAATATTTTTCCTATCCATTTAAATAAAAATATGAATAAAAAACTTATTTGCCTTTTATTTTCGTAAAAGTTAGGTCTTATCTAACCGATTTCTCTCCTACAAGGCCGTATAGACATTTGAGCCCTAAGCTCAGCTCGCCTGTGTCCCTTTTGTCATTCCTTTCTTTGTCAGCTAGATACTTGTCTTTGCCAAGACCTTAAAACTAATTCCCTCCCATCTTGTTTCGTGTTGGTATTTTTTTCTTGTTTTTATTTATTTATTTTTATTTTTTTATGTTTGTATCAATTAAACTTTACAGTGAGGATATGAATCATAGGTTTATGAGCTTGGGATTCTGTAATTTATTTTAAATTTTTGTTCTTGTATTGATTTTTAATCACATTATTTACTTATTTAATAATAAAAATTAGAAAATTTATGGCACTTATGCGTCTTTCCTTGGGGCTTATGGCCTGCCTCATGTCAAGTGAAATGCTTGGCTTTTTGCATGTGCCTTTTAAAGCATTGGGATAGATGCACGTGTTTGTACATCATCTTCTTGCAAATCTAGTGCTCCATTACTTGTGTGGCCTTCTAAATTTCCTTTTTTAGTCTGCCTTTCATTGTTGCTAGGGCTTTAATCGAACTGAGCCGAGCCGAGCCGAGTATATCATAGTTTGGATTTGGCTTAATACAATTATATGTGTTCATGTTCGCCATGAGCTTGTGTCGAGCTTTCACATGTCGTGCAAGCTTGACTTATTTAAAATTTTTTGGTTGTTGAACTTGGTTTGTTTATGACAAGTGAACGGGTATTTAAACAAGCTAATAAACAAGTATCTATATTTTATGATAAATAATATAAAGTTTTTAAATATAAATAAATAAAAAATTGAATAAATCATATAACTTGTATATCATATAAGCTAAGAAACTAACTCATATGTTGTCATCTAGTATTTGTAATTGATATATTCTCACCAGAGTGAATTCTAATTTAGAGAAAAAATATTGAAACAGGAGCAAAAAAAATCAACTAGTATTACAAAGTAACTTATAATGTGAAATTATTCATCAATTGTTGAAATAATTGAGAAAAATCAAATGCAGCTCGATCAAGCATAATAAAAAAAAAAGAACAAAAGTGAAGTTCGCTTTTAGAATCCCGTCAGGTTAATTTTCAAATAATTAATAATTAATAATAAATAAATATATAATTAAGAATTAATCTAAAAATATTATTGATATAATAATAATACTATTAAAACTTTAATTACATAAATTTTAGGAAATCAAATTTTATTAAATAATATATCATATATGACACAAGCTATATTCGAGCTTCATATCGAGCATTTAGTAAGTTGCTTGTTGAACAATATACTGTTTTAGCGTATGATTTTGTTATTGATAGTACTTTAAGAAAATAGATGAACACATTGTTACTTACAAGAATGAATATAATAAAACACAAATTGATTATTTACTTATGAGAGAAAGAGATCGTTGAGAATGTAAAGATTATGAGATCAACATCGATTATTAGTTCTGAATTTGAAGATGCGAAATTGCAGGATAATGAATACAATAAAAAATTGTTAGAAAATTAGATGAGGGCATCTAAAAGACAAATACAATTATTTTTATGAGTAAACTTCAAGCTTTGAGATATCCATGAAGAAGCTAATTCTATGTGGGATAAAACAACAAACACTATTAAACAAGCTGCAAAAGTTGTACTTGGAGAATCAAAAGCAAAAATTTTTATAATTAAAAAGAATTGACAGTGGAATACTAATTTGCAAGAAAAGATAAAATATAAGAAGTTGTGTTATAAAAATTATTTAAATGTAAAAGATAGAGAAATAGAAAAAATATAAGGTGGCCCGTAGCTAGTTTAAGAGATTTTTTCTGATGGTTATAATAAATTAATTGATGCTAAAGAGAGTGAAAAATATTTTTATAAACTAGTTAAATAAAGAGAAAAGAAAAGTAAAGTGTATTAATGATGAATATAAAATAATATTTTTCTTAGAGGAAGATATTCAACATATGTGGGTGAGCTATTTTGATAAGCTTTTTAATGAATTTTTTGAAAATATGATCGACCTTAATGATCTTAATATTATTAATAATAATAAAACGTTTTATTTTTTTCATCACCTTATTAAAAAAGAGGTTGAGGAGAATGGTAGAAAATAGTAGGACTTGATGATATATCAATTGAAGTGTGGAAATATTTAAGAGATTTAGGAGTTTCTTGGCTTACTAAGCTCTTTAATATTATTTTAAAAACTAAAAAGGTGCCTGCGGAGTGGAAGAAGAGTATTTTGATTCCCATTTATAAGAGTAAAGTGGATGTATAAGAGTTTTTAAATTATAGAAGAGTTAAGTCAATGTGTCTTACTTTAAATTATGGGAGAGGATAATTGAACATAGGTTAAGACGTGATACAAATATTTCTCATAATAAGTTTGGATTTATGCCGGCATGTCTACTATGAAAGCTATAAATATATTAAGAGTTTTGATGGAGAAGTAGAGAGAGTAAGGAGGATCTTTATATGATTCTTTATATGATTTTTATTGATTTGGAAAAATCTTACATAAGGTTCCAAGAGAAGTCCTTTGGAGAGTTCTAAAAAAGAAAGGTGTCGTGACCTCCTGTTTCAATTACTCGCGGAAGAAGAAACAAACGATGGGTAGATGAAATGAGGAAGCTGAAGAGGATGAAGTGAAGAGTTGGGAAACCAAACAGAGAGGGAGAGGAAGTAAACATAACTAAGAGGAAATGAGGGGAGATCGGGGAGCAGAATAGGTGAAGTTTGCCTATAAATCATGTCAGACGACTTACCTGGGAGTCGAGCAACATGCAAAGGAAAGGAGGACGACGTAGGAGGAGGTGACATCGGTGTCAAGCAACAAAGGAGGCGATGTTGGTGTCAAACAATGAAGGAGGTGTTGAGCAGCTCTCGTCACTTGCTAGGGCAGAGAGGGCGTCGTGAAT